CCTCTATGTTTTCGTGTTCTTGAGTTTGTGAGTGGGAATATCTTTTTTTTTTTTTTAAGATTTTATTTATTTATTTGACAGACATCACAAGTAGGCAGAGAGGCAGGCAGAGAGAGAAGGGGAAGCAGGCTCCCTGCTGAGCAGAGAGCCCGATGTGGGGCTCGATCCCGGGACCCCGAGATCATGACCTGAGCTGCAGGCAGAGGCTTTAACCCACTGAGCCACCCAGGTGCCCGAGAACATCTGCTTTTATTTCAGAATTGTCCCATGGCATTAAACATTCCTCCTCAGTTGTCTTTAAAGGTCACGTGACATTTCTCGATTATTAAATGCTTACATCGTACCCAGTTTCCCTGATTATAATGGTACTGCTGTACTTGTGTGCAGATACAGAATTTCTTCATACTTCGGATCATTTCCTAAGGGTAGGAAAGGGATTTTAAAAATAAATAAATAAATAAGGTACTTTTATTCTGATTAAGAAGATGGGGGGAAAAAGTACAGACAAGCACGAAGTAAGCACAGAAAAATCACCCATCAGGTTTTCCACACCCCACACTCCACCCCCACCCTGGGCATGGGGAGGATGGCAGAGCCAGGAGAGCTTCCCAGCTCCACCCTGCCCCCTGCAGAGCCACCATTGGCCCAGCTATAAGGTATGGACCATAGTGGGTCCATCTCAGGGTCAGTGTGAGAATTAAGGGAGGAACGTGCAGGAGCCTGGCCCATGGAACATACTCCATAAAGGGATAAAAGTTCATAATTAGTGGTATCTCCATCCATCCATCCATCCATCATCTGTCTGATGTATGGAATCTCCACTGATTTAAGAAATGGACATGCACTTTATCAAACTCTGTCTTCTCTGGACTGTGCCAGCATTTATTTATCCGGTCCCTGTTGGTGGGCCATTTCCGGTATTCCCAGAATTACTTCCGTGAACAGCACTTCACCGACCTGCTTGATCCCAAAGGTAAATTACTAGAAGCTGGAAGAAGAGATAGGAATATACATGAAAAGCTCTAGAAAGGTCGAGTGCCCTTCGGCCAGGGACCTAAAGCACCAGTACGGTACAGGCTCATCAAATGTAGACACGCATGTTGGTTGTCGCATTTCCACATCAGTGAAAAATCTGGAGCCCTCCGCCCCAGAATATTGCTTGAATAAATAAAACACAAACAATACAGTAAAATCTTAGGTAGCTATTAAGAATTGTCAAAGAATAGGGGCGCCTGGGTGGCTCAGTGGGTTAAGCCTCTGCCTTCGGCTCAGGTCATGGTCTCTGGGTCCTGGGACTGAGCCCTGCATCAGGCTCTCTGCTCAGCAGGGAGCCTGCTTCCTCCTCTCTTTCTGCCGGCCTCTCTGTCTACTTGTGATCTCTCTCTCTGTGTCAAATAAATGAATAAAATCTTAAAAAAAAAAAAAAAAAAAGAATTGTCAAAGAATGAAAAAGAGTTCAAACTGAAAGTGAGGGTGCATCTTCTCCCTGGCTGAGGAGGCTAAATGGTAAGTCTCCCCAGGTTGCCGCCGATTGTTTCGGGGATGAGGAAGCGGCAATTCCATGTTGGTTTTGCTAATTAAATGAAGGCTTGAAATCTTGGATGAAACAGAACTTGTCTGTGCCTGAGCCTGTGCATAGCTGATCACAGCCCCGCAGGCCCCTGGTCAGTCAGCTCAGTCCACACGGGCAGCTTGCATGGCGGGGGCTGCCGGTTGTGGAGAGCCCCTCTCCCCCTGCACTGACACAGGCCAGCTGATGGCGGGCCCGTGCCCTCTGGCTCGGGGCGGGAAGGACGGCCCTCGAACACCATGGGTGTGAACTGTATGGATCCGCTTAGAGCTGGATTTTTCTTTTAATAAGTACATTGAAGAAGTATTTTAGAGACTAAGACAGTTTGAAAAAACATGCAGATGAACCATGTAGCCTAGAAATACTGAAAAAATTATGTATTGTAAGAAAACAGCATTTGGTACATGTAACAAGTTTTACAAATACCATGACCTTTCTTTCTCTTCTTTTTTTTAAGATTTTATTTTAAGTAATCGCTACTGTGGGACTCAGACTCCCAACTCTGCGACCGAGAGTTGCACGCTCTCCTAGCTAAGCCAGCCAGGCACACCCCGCTACATGTCTTCTGTTTAAAGTTTTTATAATGGGAAATTGAATTCCCTTATAAAACTAAAGAAGGCAGTCCCCTGGGTGTGTTCGCCCACTCCCAGCTCCTCTCAGTACAGCTGCTAAGCTGGGTATCTGTCAGCCTTGCCCCACAAACCATCTTGGAGACGTTACAGCCTTTCATCTGCAAATATTTCAGTGTTTGGTTCTAAAAGATAATTGACCTGGATTATATTCCACCAGGGGTGACTTCCGGGGACCCGAGATACCAGCGGACAGCTGTCTTGTTTTCTGCTTGGTGTATTTGAGGTTTTTCTTTTTTAAGAATTGATTAATTTATTTAAAGCGTGATTGGGGGCAGGGGTAGAGGGAGAGAATCAGGCAGACTTCCTGCTGAGCACGCTCTACACAGGGCTCGATCCCATGACCCCAAGATCATGACCTGAGCCCAAATCAAGAGTCAGATGCTTAACTGACTGAGCCACCCAGGTGTCCCCATTTGAATCTTTTTATTTTTTTATTTTTTTTAAGATTTTATTTATTTATTTGACAGACCGAGATCACAAGTAGGCAGAGAGGCAGGCAGAGAGAGAGGAGGAAGCAGGCTCCCTGCTGAGCAGAGAGCTCAGTGCGGGGCTCGATCCCAGCACCCTGGGATCGTGACCTGAGCCGAAGACAGAGGCTTTAACCCACTGAGCCACCCAGGCACCCCCCCCATTTGAATCTTTTTACAACGTATATGTTAAAGACAAAATGTGGGACTTTTAAAATTCATTCTGAAGTATGGGTAGGTTCCTAGGAAGCTGCAGAGAGTATAAAGCACGCACTTTCCCGCAGTGATTGCTTCCCGAGTAAGCAGAGACTGACGTCCCCAACCACAGCAGCTGCTCATTTGTTCTTTGTCGATCATTTCATGGTTTCAAAAAAGTTACATAAATGGAATCCTACCTTTTGAGATTGGCAGAAGTTACTGGCGAGTGTCAGGGAGGCCGCTGCGGACGCAAGCTTTGCCTGTGGCCTAGAGACAGCGCCTGTCCCTGCTCGCACTGGGATCCGTCCCGTTCTTTTTCTTGGCGCAGTGCAGCTGCGGTTCTCACTGTGCTCTTCCTCTGCCGCAGCTGAAGCAGTTCGAGCGGCTGGAGCAGGAGGTGTCCCGGCCCATAGAGCACGACCTGGCCAACTGGACCCCGGCGCAGCCACTGGCCCCAGGGCGGACAGGCAGCCTGGGGCCCTCGGACCGGCAGCTGCTGCTCTTCTACCTGGAGCAGTGCGAGGCCAACCTGACCACCCTCACCAACGCGGTGGACGCCTTCTTCACTGCCGTGGCCACCAACCAGCCCCCCAAGATCTTCGTGGCGCACAGCAAGTTTGTCATCCTCAGCGCCCACAAGCTGGTGTTCATCGGCGACACGCTGTCGCGGCAGGCCAAGGCGGCCGACGTGCGCAGCCAGGTGACCCACTACAGCAACCTGCTGTGTGACCTTCTGCGTGGCATCGTGGCCACAACCAAGGCCGCTGCCCTGCAGTACCCGTCCCCCGCCGCCGCCCAGGACATGGTGGACAGGGTCAAGGAGCTGGGCCACAGCACCCAGCAGTTCCGCCGAGTCCTGGGCCAGCTGGCGGCAGCCTGAGAGCCGGTGACCGGAGGGATGGGGGTTGGGAGGAGGGCACCTGCCCCGAGAGAGTTGCCATGCTGCAGGCGTGGGGACAGGCACCCCAGCTCTGCCCGGGCCTGGTGCCCCAGACTGTCCAGGGATTTGTACATATTTATGACGGGGCAGGATATGGAACAGCATTTCCTCAGCAGAGCCCAAGCAGAGCTGGGCCCCCGGGAGCCAAGGCTGAGGAGTAGGCTGGGGTCTTCTGCGTACACGGCGCCGGGGCCCAAAGACCCCTCGATCCCCATGGCCTCAGAGGACCCCTTGAGCTGATCCTAGCCCCACAGGGGGGCCCTGTCCCTCGCCCCCCCACACCGCAAGCGCCACTGTACCAGGAGAAAAACTCTAAAACACTATTTTTCATTATTGATTTTCCAATCATTTGACTAATAGTCTACATTTAAATAAAATTTTAAAAATGGAAAGCCTCTGGTGTGAGAGGTTTGAGAGCCAACAGGCCTCATGGATGCAGGCAGGGGTGTCCTTGCTCTCAGATGCCACGGGGTAGTAGCCACAGATGGAGGGGTTTTGGGGTGAAGCTGTGGGAAGCTTCTTGGGAGGGTGAAGACCCAAGTGGGTCCCTTCAGGAGCCAGGCCAAGGACATGAGGCCAGGGATCTCCTGCAAAGTGGGGGCAGGTCTGCCCATGACCCCAAGACCTTGAGAGCCAAGGCTGCTGGAGAGAAGCTGAGTCATCCTCAAACAACAGGGCGCAATGGCCGAGGAGGGGTGCGCCCGTGGCCAGGTCTGCGGGAAGCCAGCACGGACTGAAGCAGCTCCCGGAGCACGCTGGGCTCCACTGGGGCCTACGCTCCAAGGCAGAGAACCTGTGGAGGACACCACAGAAACTTGTTTTCACAAACCTCACCCAGAGCTTTGCTCTTAGAAGCTCATAATTTCACCCAGGGACTTATTCTGGAGCGTCTTACTTGAATTACACATAGACTTGGCCTCTAAGTTGGGACTTGGGGATCCACAGGGCCCTTGCCCTGGGTTTCAGGAACTGCTGCTCCTAGCCTTGACTGTTCTGCACGTGACCTTGGGCCCCGGTCTCCTACCCCTAAGAAGAAGGGCAGGATCTGTCAACCCTCCACAGCGGGGACCCCAGTGAAGGCAGCCATCCTCCCACCCCTCAGCACCCTGGCGATAACACAGACAGAAAAAGGCATGTGGTTGCTCTCAGGGTTTTATTTGGGTTTTGCAGGAGTTGGGGGCTGGGGCAGGGGTTCAGTTGGCCTCCAGAACCTCACGAACCCAGGGAATGAACTTGGTGACGCGGGTGTACACCCCTGGTGAGAATGGGTTGCACCAGCTGCTGCCCCAGGACACGACGCCCACCAGGGTCCAGACTCCGTCGTTCTGACAGACCAGGGGGCCCCCAGAGTCGCCCTGCAGGAGGACAAAGGACTAGTTTCCAAGCCCGAAGTGGGGTGCCAAGGCCCCAGTGTGCCCTGACCTGCCCCAGCCCAGGTTCTGTGCAGAGAAATGACACGCCTGGGCACGGTGACTGAGCAGGAGACCCTTCAATGTGGGCCCCACGGCAGCCCCAGCTCCGTCACCAACTCCCGGAGGGCCTGGGGCAGGTGGCCAACCCTCTGACCCGGCCAGTGCCTGTGCAACGGGCTACAAACTCCCGGCTCCCGGGGGCTGGCGTGAGGGGGCTGAGGCCCCCAGGAGCCCCGCAGCACGCCCAGGCCAGAGAGAGCCCTCGGGCAGAGGCCCCTGCTCCTGCGGGTCCAGGTCTGGGCTGGGGTCTGGGCAGCTGGCCTGATTGAGGGGGCCAAGACACGGACAGAGAGGACCTGCCCTCTGGGCTGAGCAGGGGTGGTGTGAGGTCCAAGGGGGAGCACCAGGGTGGCAGAGCCAGGCCATACCGAGCAGGAGGACACGCCGCTAGCGCCCGCGCAAACCATCACGTTGGTGATCTTGCTGCCCCAGAACTTCGTGCAGTCGGCGTTGGACAGGAGGGGCAGGGCCGCCTGCTGCAGCTTGTCGGGGATCTTGTAGGCTGGAGGGACACAGCAGGCCCGGAGGGGTCAGGGCCCCTCCCCCGCCCCGACCCCCTGGACAGTGCCACACACAGACACTGGCCTCAAGTCAGGAGAGAAGTCGGGCCGGGAGGTGGGGCATGGCAGTGAGGGGGGCCACGCTTGCCGGTGCTTCCGTGCTTCTCCACAAGCTGGTCTTCAAGGACAGAGTGCTTAAGCGGATCTTTTTTTTTTTTTTTTTTTTAAGTATTTTATTTATTTATTTGACAGAGAAAGCAGAAGCAGGGGGAATGGCAGGCAGAGGGAGAGGAAGAAGCAGGCTTCTGCCAGATTCAGGACTCGATCCCAGGACCCTGGAATCATGACCTGAGTCAAAGGCAGACTCTTAATCGAACGAGCCACCCAGGCGTCCGCCCCTTCCAACTTCTTAAGATCTCATCTATTTATTTCAGAGACAGAGAGCGAAGCAGGGGGAGCAGCAGGCAGAGGGAGAGGGACAAGCAGACCCTCTGCTGAGCAGGGAGCCCCACAGGAGACTGGTTTCCAACTGACCCCAGCCAGAGGCAGTCGCCCAACCGACTGAGCCACCCAGGCGCCCCTAAGGTCACCTCTACTCATGTTTGGTAGATTTTTCATTAAGAGGGTTTTAAATAAAGGAAAGAAAGATTTATGGTTTGCAATTTACATGCTTGGGATTTGGACCAAAATCAGAATGAGGCTCCCTTCCGAAAAGGCCCTGCAAGGCCACTCACAGTTGTACTGGGTCTTGCCCCAGCCCGTGGTGGCGCAGATGGAGCCCGGGGGGAAGCTGGCGTTGGCGCCAGGCAGGCACACGGGGGACACGGCGCTGGAGAGCAGGACGGGCGTGGCCAGCTTCAGCAGGGCGATGTCATTGGTGTCCATAATCCGGTCCCACAGCGGGTGTTCAAAAACCTGGGGAGACGTGGTGGGGGCTGGGCAGAGCTCAGAGGGAGGACTTGGGGGTTGATGTGGGGAGGTGGGGACAGAGGTCTGGAGACGCAGAGGGCTCCGCGCCAGGCGGGCAGTCGTTGAGAAAGGAGCACAGATGGAGCTGCACAGACAGAATCTCTGGAAACTGGCATTTGACACATTGGTGATATTTAGTTTTTGTACTTTTGTGCTTTTCTACAATGAGCAAAATTTCATCTTACCATCAGAAGCAGCATTCCGTATTTGTAAAGGAGCTTTCTCCTTGGGAGAGAAGGCTCTGGACTGAGAAGTGCAGGGGTGAGGCCCGAGCGGGTTGGCCAGGGTCATCCGTGCCCACACACCCTGCCCACCTTGCCCCTCCCTCGTCCCGGGCCCCCAGGGGCAGCCTCCCCCCCACCCACCCTCGAGGTACCTTTGCGATCCTCAACACCTGGACAGCCTCGCCATCGGAGCCGTGATCAGACACGCCAGCCACCACACGGTGGCTCTTCCTGGGGGGAGAGGAGGTGGCAGAGGGGGCTCGGGGTGCCGGAGGGGTGCCCGGGCACGGTGCCCATTGCGGGAAGCCCCGGCTGAACCTCTCCCCACCACGAGGACGTGGGGGCCTGGCTCCCCAGCAGTACACCGAAGGCACTGGACTAGAGCGGCTCTCCCGGACCAAGCGGGGGTCCGAGGCGGCAGGGGGCACAAGGGTTGGGATTTTCTCCTGCAGGTGATGGCTCTGCCTGTGGCTAGGAGGTAGGAATAGCGTCTTCCCCACCTGCCCTTGGCCTCAGACCCTTCCCGTCAGGGCGTGGTGCCTGGGAGGGGGCCTGGGGAGGGAGTGAGGGCTGTTCCCTGACACCCAGGGGGCCCCTGCTGCCCAAGCCCGGGCCTCACCTGACCCTGCAGTGGGCAGCGGTGAGCACCCAGTCCTGGCTGATGAGGGAGCCCCCGCAGAAGTGTAAGCCCGAGCCGGTCTGGGGAGAGGGGAGCGGGACAGTCAGCCTCGCTGCTCCTGCCTGACCCCTCCCAGTCCAACCCGCCCCCTCCTCAGCTTCCCCCTCACCTGCAGGGACACCTGCCAGGGCCAGGAGCTGGGCACAGCGTCCTCCCCATTGACGATCCGGGACAGGCCACTCAGCTCAGGGTGGATGGCAGGGACCCCACAGCCTGGGGGCCAGGGTAGCTGGTCAATGGACGGGGGCCGAGGCGGAAGAACTGGACTTCTGGCCTCTGTAGCCACCCAGCACCCAGCCCCTGCTGCCCCAGCTGACGGCTGCCCTGGTGCCCTTGTGGAGGGTCCTGGAGGCTGGGGACATCCGGAGTTGGGGGCCGGAGCTAGAAACCTGGGTCTGGAGACTCCTGCATAGCCAGCTCCCCAACCCACTGTGTGCCCCAAGAGGAGCCTCCATCCTCCAAACCCAGGGTCCTGGGTCGTCCTCAGGTTGGGACATCCTGCTTGAGTCCCCGGTGCTCTCGTGGCCCCCGAGTCTGCGGTAGCAGCGGAGTGTTATTCCCACCGGAACAGCACAAGCCCAGGAGGCTGCCGGAGTCAGGAGGACGGAAGGGGCAGGGCCAAAGGGACCGGCCTGGGAGACCTTCCGGAGGCCGAACTCTAGTGGCTCTGGGACGGATGTGGATGCTGGAGGAGCCCGGACGACCCCCGCTTCTGAGCCAACGGAGGAGGCCAAGATGAGGCAGGTCCAGCATGACCCGTGGAGTCTGAGGGGCCCGAGGGACCTCTAGGCAGAGCAGGAGTGGGGAGCCCAGGAGAGGTACCCAGAGGCTGAGAGGGGAGCCCGCGGGGCCGGTGAGGGGTCAGGCGGGGCAGGTGAGGAGAGGTTCTATGACTTGGCCCTGCAGGTCCCAGCTTCTGGGGTGTCAGTGTTGGGGGTGGGAGAGGCCTGGTGTGGGGCTGCCTCGCCCCCTGAACTTTGCACTTACCGGAGCTGCCGCCAAAGAGGAGAAAGCCAAGGACAGCCCAGAGAAAAGCCATGGCGTGTGACTGAGGAGGTGGAATGGGGTCTGCCTGAAGGACCCCCATTATATTCCCCAGCCCACCAATCGCAGCCTGCCTCGCCATCCCCTTCCTTATCGTGAGTCCCTGGGCTGAGAAGCACCTGGTTCCTGGGCAGGCCTGGGCAGCTGCTCCTGGGAAGGTTCCTGGGAACCACAGGTGTGTACAGCCGGCAGCTGCCCCATCCCCCAGCTGCCCACTCCCCGGGGCGGGGCCCTGAGCACCCTGAGCACCCTGAGTGTGGCTTGGAGGGCCAGGCCCCTGCTGCTTCCCGGGGTGGAAGCGTGGAGCCAGGAGTGGGGGCCATGGTCCCATGTCATCTCTTGGGAGCAAGACCAAAGGCAGGACCTCCAGGTACCTCCCGCCTTTCGTCCCAGTGGAGACCCAAGTTCATGAGCAGAATGAGGTCTCAGGGGCCCTAACACAGGAAAGCACATCATCAATGTGTGTTTTATTGATTTATTGAGGCTTTGTGGAAGCAGGTCAGCAGGGATGGCAGGGTGAGGCCGGAGACTCAGTTGGCTTCCAGAATCTGCCGTACCCAGGGCATGAGCTCAGTGACGCGGGCGTACACGCCAGGAGTGGAGGTGGAACAGGTGCTGCTGCCCCAGGACACGATGCCCACCAGGGTCCAGGCTCCATCCTTCTGGCAGACCAGGGGACCCCCAGAGTCGCCCTACAGGGAGAGAGACAGGGGGCTGGGATCTGGCAGCCCAGGCGGCCCGGCCCAGGGGCCCCTGGACGTTGTTCCAGAGCCCCAACCAGGGCCTGGCAGCCCATGGACACATGGCACATGCCTATTGGAGGGATTATGAAGGATTACAAAAGAAGCTACAGCAGCTCCTTGCGTGGTTTGTGCCCCTGAAAGTCTGGGCCATCGCCTGGGACCCTGTGATAGACGCCTCATAAAGCTGGTTTGATTGACAGGGAGGAAGCACGGGTGGTGCGGGTGGGCCATGGAGCCCGACCCCGTCTGGGGACCTCTGGGCGCCATGGTCCACTACCCAGGCTGTACCCGGCACTGCTCCTGAGGGCGGGGGCGTTCGGCCAGGAGAACTAAGCGTCTTTACAACAGCTCAAGCAGGAATTCCAGGGAGAGAGTGTCGGGCCGTCTAAAGAGGCCTGCGTGTGGCTTCTACCTCCTCTCTCCGGCCAAGCCCCTGACCTGGGCTTTTGCTGGCACCCACGCCGGGCTGGGAGGGAAGGGGCGCAGGGAGAGTTCAAGACCGTACCATGCAGGAGGACACGCCACTGGCCCCGGCGCAGACCATGAGGTTGGTGATCTTGTTGCCCCAGAACTTCTTGCAGTTGGTGTTGGACAGGAGGGGCAGGGTCGCCTGCTGAAGCCTGTCAGGGGTGTTGGCATCTGGAAGGATGGGGTGGCGGTCAGTGACCGCAGCCCGGCCCCCCGTCTCCCACCCACCCAGCTGGAGGGCGCTCACTGGTGTGTTTGGTCAGGCCCCAGCCAGTGGTGGCGCACAGGGTCCCCGCAGGGAAGTCGTCGTTCTCATTGGGCAGGCACACGGGGGACACGGTCTGGGAGAAGCGGGCGGGCGTGGCCAACTTCAGCAGGGTGATGTCGTTGTTAACTGTGAATATGTTGAACTTGGGGTTCTTGAAGACCTGCAGGGGCAGGGGCGGGTGGCTGTGGTTGGGGTCTGAGAAGAGGCTGACACGGGGCTGAACCAGGGGGCTGGGCCACCCCAGATCACCCCAGTGCTTCTGTCTTCAACATGGCAACACTTCTGCGGCCCCAGGAGCCTGGGACCAGGCCCAGGACACCCTGCTTTCTGCTTTGCCCTGTCACAACGGGATCCCGCGGAGGTTGGGAGCAGCTGGGGGTGTTCAGGCATTAGCCTGGGCACCACACACCCTAGGGCCTGCCCCCCGCTCCACCCCAGGGTCACACCTGGACTCCAGGTCACCATACCTTGGCAATCTTCAGCACTTGGATGTCCTCAGCATCGGAGCCCTGGTCAAACTCCCCAGCCACGACCTGGTGGGAGGTTCTGGAGAGGGCCCGAGAGAGAAGGGGGGACCTGCTGTGAGGCAAGGGGCACACACAGCAGGTGCAGGCTGCGTGTGTTAGTGTGTGTACCTGCGTGCATGTGCTCCTAGTTGTTGATCCAGAGATAGGACCTCAAAATATTAGTAACTGTCCCCGGAACACCTGCGCCTACAGGTGTACAGCGGGTGTTTCCTTCCCGGGGACCCTTGGGAGACTGGCACGAGTCGGGTTTTCTACATGTTCCCAAACAAGGAAACTGAGGCACAAGGAGTTAAAGGTCCAGCCCTCAGTGCTGACAGTCTGCCCCCGACTTAGGGGTTTCCTGGGGACCCAGGGTCCTCACCTGACCCCGCAGTGGGCGGCAGTGACCACCCAGTCCTCACTGATGAGGGATCCCCCGCAGAAGTGGAAGCCAGTGCTGTCCTGGAGGAAGACGGGGAGGGGTCTGTGTTGGCTGGACACCAGCAGCCCCCCGGGCTGACCCCAGGTGGGCCAATACCCTAGTGTGTCCCCCACTCAGGGATAGAACTCCCCCCTTACCTGCAGGGACACCTGCCAGGGCCAGGAGCCCGGGACAGCGTCCTCCCCATTGACGATCCGGGACAGGCCACTCAGCACGGGGTGGATGGCAGGAACCCCGCAGCCTGGGGGTGGGAGCATGGGGTAAGGGATGGGGGCCCGGGCTCCCCACTCTCCCAGGAACCCCCAGGGACAACTCAGTCTGATGTGTGCTTCAGCCCAGACAAGCCCAGCAGGTTGGCTGCAAGGTGGTGGCCGGGCCCAAGCACGGCCTGGAAGCAAGGGTCCGGGGGTGTGGGCCCGGTCCCACACTGGCTAGCCCTACTGTTCTGAGCATCGTTCCATCTGCAGAGAGGGGGTCATACAGCTGCTACCCTCACAGAGCTGGGATATGGATGCAGGAAGACCGGGTGCCTGGGTTGACCATCCGACTCTGGATTTCAGCTCAGGTCTTGATCTCGAGGTCCTGAGGTCGGGCCCCCTGTCTGGCTCTATGCTCAGAGTAGTCTGCCTCGCTCTCTCTCTCTCTCCCTCTGCCCCTCCCCTCACTCAAATTCTCTCTCAAATAAATAAATAAATCCTTAAAAAAAAGAAAGAAAGAAAGAAAGAGAGGAAGAAAGAAAGAAAGAAAGAAAGCTGCAAGAAGACTCAGCAGGCAAAGCAGGAACTTGCTCTGTTCCTGGCACAGATTAAGGGCTCCATGAACGCAAGCTTCAAAGTGCTGGGTTCGAGGGTCCCGAAGGGCTGGTGAAGGCCAAGCCTCACCTGCCCGCCTGCTCGTCCTCTGAGACTGACTGGGAGCCACTAGCTGTTCAGAAGAATTTTCACTCCCTCTGGACTTGGCCTCCCTGTCCCCCTGGGGGCCTTGCCCTGGCATGACTCGTCCCATCCTGGTCCCATTGTGGCAGTGGGGCTGGTGAGGCTCAGAGGGGGCGAGAGACCCGCTCAGGCTCACAGCACCGCGTGCAGCTGAACAGGGAGCAGGGACCCCGTTGCCCCTTCTGGCCCCAGGGTGGTAGGGGAGCAGAGACCTCCCTCCCGGCCTCTGTTTGCCCCGAACTCACCGAAGGCTGTGCTCAGGAGGGCGCAGCAGGAGAGAAGCCAGAGGAAGGCCATGGTGCTGTGGTCAGAGAGCTGTAGGGTGCCTGCCTGCGGAGCTCCCCGTTATATCCCCGTGCACCAAGCTGTTATCTGCAAACCTTGAGGTGGCAGTCCCTTTCCTGGGCATGTGCCCGCGGAGGTAGAATGTGCCAGAGCAGGGCTGGCATCGGGGTGTGTGATGGCAGCAGCTGTGGCCCATGGTCCTGCTCGGGTCTGGGTCAAGGGCAAAGGTGGTTCCAAACAAGGTAGCCACGGAGAAGAGCTCAGAGAACTTGGGCTTCCTCTTCCAGGAAGGGACTTTGGGACAGCAGCCAGGCCTGGGCATGGTTGGAGCCCCAGCCTACTCTCTCATGGGCTGGAGAACCTTGGACAAGTAACTGAGTTGGTGTGTTAGTTATTCTAAAGCCCTGGGCAGTGTGGTCAAGGAGGGAGGAGGAGTGGGGACCAAGGCGCAGCCGGCCAGGGCTGAGAATGTTCCTTTGGCCTTGGGGATGGTCAAGAAGGCTCTGTGAGGGTCTGTTCAGTATCTGGGGTGGTCACTTGGGCTATGTGCAGCGTGGCTCAGGGGGGCAAGCCACCCACTGCCTGTGCACACCAGGCCGTGTCTCTTTACCCAGATGCCACGGACCCCTGGAATCGAGCATGGCGCCTCCTGGGGTTATGCTCTCAGTGAGAACTGGTGGAGGCTGGGTCAGGCAGGAGGAAATGGGAGTTGGGCGGGGCAGGCAAGGAGGACTGCTTTTGGTTTGGGTGACAGGTGGACAGTGGGGCCCTTGCTCAGCACTTAAGAATCCAGGGAAGGAGAAATTTGAGGGTGAGGGTGCGAGCGTGAGGTACAGCGTGAGTGCCGCAAAACACACAAGGAAAATGGGAACTCGTGGCTGCTTTTAATTTCCGTCACACTGACGGTAGCGTGCTCTGCAGTACAGGGCTCCGCACAGAACAGCTGTGCAGACTTGGGCAGGTTATGTGACCTCTCTGGTTTTGTTTCTAAGTAGTAAAATGGGGATGCTTGTTGGCATTATGAAAGGACTGCGCTAGGACCCGGCCTAACGCACAATCCATGCCGGTTGGTCCTCTGTACTCCTTCTTGAAATTCCTATCGGTGCCCTTTCTGCATTCTAGAAGACTGTCTAATGACAGCGAGGGGTGGCCACACTGTATCAGGTGGGAAAGCAGGGCACAAAACAGGAGGCGGAGGGTGGCCCCCTCCGTGAGACCCTGCTATCCATGCAAGCCCGTTCATCCTTTCCAGCCTAGTTTACCAGGCCCAGAGCGGGCTGGGACAAAAGAAACACAGATTTCTCCTGCTTTTAGGAAGCATGCATGGGGAAAGGAGTGGGAGAATTTACTGAAAAGGGGGGGGGAGTAAAATGTACATTCCTACCAGCTAAGGAGTTATCATGATTAATACCAAGGCAGGAGGGCCTCACCCAGAAGGGACATCCTATAAGTTATAGGAGCAGGTGGAGTGCGCCTCGGGGACTGTGCCCAAGCCGAGGCAATGACAAGAGCGACTTGCCACGCTCTGGAGGCCGAGGGCACTCATGAGTCTGGAAGGCAGGAGGCCGGGGGCGCGGGGTGGGGGACCGAGGCGGGCCGTATTGAAGACGCGGTCGGGAGCGGCTGACCGCGATGCTGCAGTCGCTGGGTGCGTCGTTCCACCTGTCGTTCCACCT